TTCTGCAATGCCTGCATTGAGTTATGGTTACAGCATAACCAGCAATGTCCCACATGTCGCATCCCCATCACACCAGAGAACCCATGCAAACAGATCATTGGTCAGTATTAACATTTTTCATTTTTTTGAGGAGGGATACTGATTTTATTGTTTATGAGCTACTGGTAAATACATGCACTCATGGCTAGATCTAGAAAATATATGCACCTGTAAAAGACATGTCACCAAGGCATATTTTTTGCTTAGTTTTTCCTTCAAGAGCACATTTCCATGATAATAGTTGTGTCACACATTTTACACAGGAATTCCTGCCTGATTGAACTATTCCTGGCCGTACATTTACAGTACCAACCAGAAGAGGTTCGGCAGTGCCCAGAAGGAAAGTCTGGCAAACACTGAAATAACGGTACATTTGCAATGGAACTAGGGAACCACTATACGTGTGCAAACATACATGTAGAGGGCTTCTCCTACCCCAACCCTCACCTCTAGCCCTACTCCCACCCCCACTCTCAAACCCCCACCCCCATTAAAAGAATCAAAAACACCTTACTAAAATCCATGTGACTAGAATCATTGGGGGCTTAACTCTTTTGTGACTGATTGACAGAGTGCCCTTCCATTCAGACACTAGAACCTGGTAACTCCAGGTGTAAATTAGTGGAAGAGATGGATGCCTGGGTCGTAGAACTGTCTGTACTCTTGTTCAGTGGCAATTGTTGTGTTGGTGGTTGCAAGAGGTGTCTGTTGTACTGGTACAGTAGGTATGCAGACTTGATGAGTTGTAGAAATCATCTTTAACATCCACATTGTGGCCAGTCGGGGAGGCATCAAACCAACAGGAGAGAATCAGCTGAAAGTTACTGCTCAATCAACATTGACCAACCACTTGAATCGGCTAGTGTACGTGTATATTGCCTGTGTATAGTGAAAAATTTGTATTGGTATTGGACCTGTTGTACAAGCTGCTTTAATTGGCCAGCATACATGTACATGTGCATGCACTACCGGTAGCACATGTGCTTGTGCTTGGAGGATGTGGGTACCCCAAAACACATGGTCTACGGTACATGTACATGTATGTGTACATTATCCCTACCCTCAAGCAGGTGCATACCGGAGTATATGCTGCCACGCAGCTCAAATTACTGTGCCACTAATTATTGTCCATTATCCACACTTCCATGAAACATTTAAACGGATCCTTTTCTAATGAGGGAATCCATTATTGGAGTATCACTAGTGGTCACGCTCCTGTCAAGGTTAGACCAGCTTGGCACGCTGAACAGCTTACCACGTGGGGCTACATGTATGTACATGTACATGTAAACTTGGTAAAGTGGTTTATTTATTGTGATATGTGCCGGAACTGTATGATACATGTACAAAGGTTTTCCAGCATTGGTCAGTAAATGGGAGATGTCTACAGGTAATTGTGCGTGCAATATGATGAAGTGCTTTTAAGTTGATTAGAGAATAACGACCATGGGTACAGTACCCATGGTTCATACCACTGTGACTATAACTGAAACCATACCGTACTTACATGTATTGGTTTTACATAATGACACGAGCATGTACAGTGAATACAGACATGTAACAAAATAATTTGGGTTTTCAACAACTGACACACAAGCATGGAGTGGATACTTTTTGGAGAAAAATGTGTTAAACTTTAACCTGTTCTGCCCCTCAACACTTTTTCCAATATCGCTGCAGTGGATTTTTCAGGAGCTGGGCCTTTAGGAGTTTTAGAGTAACTCTTCACTGTTATTTTTACACCTACATGTACATGTACCCTGTATGCTGTGAAAATCAAACATACATTGTTTGGCCTGTGCCAGGTACCCGCCTATCGATATCAAAACCCGGTTCCATTTTTTCGGGCCGGATACCTGTAAGAAAAAAGTATAAATTTGGATCAAAAATCCATGTATAAAATGGCTGTGAACATAACACTGAAGGGCAGACTTGCTGAAAAATCACTCTGCCTCTGAAAACCCAGTCCCGCGGTCTTACATGTACATGTGTAACTGCAGTTCGGAGATTGACAGCTACTTTTATAACCCACTCCGCGGGTTGAACTACAGTTTTTTTTCGTCATTCCGGATTTTTCTTAGTTCATGGGAGTGAAAAAATATGATAAAACATCACAGGGCGATAGGCCATTCACTATGTGTGATTCCAAATACCTTTTTATATTGAACAGCCACATATAAACTGTTGCATCTAATGTTTGTTTAATCAAAATGACTTTTTGAGTTTCCGTTTGTAAAAATTGACTGAAAGCTTTTCCCCCTCCTTTCGAATCGTGCGGTGTTGCTTACACGCAAATTCATTGCGAACTCGGCTACACGGGCATAGCAAAAATGTATGTGACATAATGGGTCCATTAACTGTGAGACGCAGGGGAGAGTACTGTTGATAGCTTGCTGTACCGGTACATCTGAAAAGTCGAGTCAAAATTTACGAAATTTATACTTTTTAATTCATTGGAATTCTTATTTTTGAACTAGTTTTCTCAAGATTAAGAAATTCTTCATTAGTAAAGTCACTTTTTACAATGGTTCTGGCTGAAAATGGATTTGTGTAATACCTCTTATTCTTGCAAAAGTTTTGGCATGATCCGAAACCGATCCAGAACTAGGAAAGGGGTCGTCGTCACTTTTGTCAATCCTGTGAGTCCAAATTTAAAAGCTTAGATTTTGAAAATAATTTTGAGGTACATGTATCTCCAAAATACAAGGTTGACTACTGACTACATTTCACTTGACTATGAGGATTTTTGTAGCTGCAATCTCACTGAATAATTTTGGCGATCCAGAACTAGGGATACAACTGTACCAAATATATGAACAAGAGGCGGAAGGAATTCTGTGTTCTAAGGTGGCTACGCTGTACACTTGCATGACTGTATACTTTAACCCTGTTGGCCTAAATGAGATCTACATGTACTGGTATTTCTCTTAAATTTCCCATAAAGTAGTTTTGCCATTACAGCAATTTTTATCTTGGTATACTTTTTATGTGGACACCCTGTACGGTACATTAGACTGTTTGAAGTGTGTTGAAATTGGTACCCAATTTTTGAAACTTGTTTTATCATTTATGCAAAATGTTTAGTCAGTCAGAGAGAAAAGTTCATACATGTACATGTTTGCTGCTAAAAGAGCTTGATTATTCAGCGATTATTCATCCCTTCCACACATGTTTTACTTGTTTGTTTCTGCGGCGCATTAAACTGATCTGAGAAATTGTCCAATAAAACAGAAATACATAGATCAGTACATGTAGTATCCCTCTTCAGGAAACTCTTGTTTACAAAGGAATATACAAATGTACAATGTACCATATTTTTAGGTTTTCCATTTTTTGTAGTGTAACTAACCAGCATTGCATGTCTGATTACAGGTCACAGATCAGGTGTAATTAAGTTGGCCTTTGGCTGTGATTTATCAGGACTGATGACACCTGTATATATCCATGTACATTACATGTATGTACAGGTACATGTACATGTACCGATACCTGTATTAATAGTGAAGAATCTGCCTCATGATTTCAGTAATTTCTTTGTCTGTTAAAAGGACCGGTTTGTGTACATACATGTAATCATGTTCAAAAGTTATGAGCCACCTGCAGTTTTTTGTGAAGAGGTGCAGTACGTGCTGTGTACATCTCCATCTACAGGACAGCCATGAGTAGTGCAAGCTTTTTGTTACAGACCAGAATGATCTGATGAGCGCCTACACGGTTCTGTTTGTGTTGGGCATGTCATGTGTTCATCTGAATATTGCAGTTCACTAATCAGATGACTGGGATTTGTACATGTCCATGTATTCAGGTGTTGTTCAGAGGGTAACTTATTTAGTAAGGTTCATGTACCGTTCATTGTACCGGATCTCAGTGGAAACTGCTTGTGATTACATGAATTTAACTTCAGTAGGAACACGCACATGTACATGTACAGTACCAGGTACAACATGGGAAATGAAAAACCAACAGTTTGAAGTTGTGTGTCAGTTTGTTGGTTGAGGGAAGGTACAATATATTTTGCCTATTAAATGACTATAAGAATGTGTTATGGTCCATTTACCATAATGGGCATTAGGCTGAAGGTTATCCTCTAAGTGCACTACTCTAACTACTGTACATGTAGTATTCTATGGCCCTCCCCTGCCACCTGACAGGCAGTCAGTGATACTCAGCTTAGGACTTTACAGGCAAAAAGACTTGTCCAGGTACATGTACTGTACACGTTGTTCCTTGAAATCAACCCCAGGAACCATTAATTTTGCAAATACCCACTAGAACTCACTGTGCACTTAAGAGGATTGTTCAAATTTTGCCCCGATAAAAAATGCATGGCATTGACAGGGGATATGCTGTTGCGGGTACACGCACCACCCTTGAGTTTAACCTGTTCGTTTATCTGTTCGATCAGCTCACTAATAGTGAAGAAGGAGACACAGCTTGTGATGAGTAGTTGCTTTATATACCTCCCATCCATGATTCATGATTTGTTCGCTTAAGCGAGCCTCCAGTAATTCACATGAACGACCCATGTGTCTGCAAGAAGCGGCCATTATTCTTGACAATAAAAGTTTGAATGATTCAGAACCATTTTCGTCAGAGACAAAGCAAGATCGTTGTGTAAAGTATGCATTCTCATAAATGTATTAGGTGGCAATCCTTCCATTCTCCCCTCATAGCAATGTACGATAAATATTTAAGTTGGATTCCTTGAGTGCCAGAGTTAAAAAATAAACACCGGGTCTTGTGAATCATTAACACACCCAAGATCAATACTGTAGATTTTTTTATTCACTCCCTTCATTAATGTATAAATGTTTTCCCGCTAGCTTTTCCATAGCCATTTTGGTGCAATCTTGCAAGATTTATAGGTTTTGCTGACTTTGTTATAGGCTGTATGGATTGTGCTGCAGATCGTTTATAACTGAATGCGCTGCGTTGTCGCGTCACTTCCTCCAAGAGGAATGGCAGAGTGAGTTGCACCCTTTTTTAATTGGTGGAAATTACCGAAATCCAGAATGTTGCAATGTGACATTGTGCATGTGTTAGCCACTGTGGTTTAGGCTGTGAGAAACCTGCTACAATTCAGTTATCATGTGGATAGCACCTGATGCACTTCTCACAGATTTCAAGTCTCGTGTTGGATGGAGGATCCCATACCCTGCACTTTTGGATGCATACATACATGTACATGTACAGTACGTACCCACATCACTGTGTCGACAGATAATTTTTCAGTGGAGTATTGAGTGAGGAGGAGGAGTTGCTTATCATACACTCCATGCGTGTGTTCGTGAACTGGTTGCCTTGTGTGAACTGGTTGCCTTGTGTGAACTGGTTGCCTTGTGACATTGAGCTGCACTTGTGGATGCATCCGCGTAAATGGTCTACAGGTGCAAAGATTGTACATTGCTTGCCGCAGTTTTTATTTTTCTTTCTGAGTTTTCCAAGTACACTCACATACATACATGTATGTATGTCTCTTTAGGATACTGAGTTCCTTTATTGAATGTGGAGAAACCAGTAACATCTCCATGTGAGGGAATTATGCAATTGTAGGATGGCAAGGACGTACACTGTATGTGTGTGTAATAAGTTGTCTAATAACAAGCATTTTGGCATTTTTACCTCTGGAAATGGACATACATGTACAGTACAGGTACGGGTACATATGTGCAGATACTCACAATGGATGCACACAGCCCTTAACCACACACTGCCAGTCTTACTTTTGGTTAAACATTTCCACATCCAATAAAGGCAGGATATCAGGGCCAACTTTTGATATACATGTACATGTAGCCAAACACTGATTTGGAAGATTTTGTACGGTACTTGTACATGTGACGGTACTTCTTTCCGCAACCTCATACATGTACACACATGTACGGTAGCTTTTGACTTTTCCGGGGCACGTCCAGGAGCGATGTTTGCTGCCACAGCAGGCTGTGCACAGTGGCCAAGTTCAAGTGCAGCACATGTTCTGCTTCAGCAGGCTTGTGAGACTTGGTGTACGTGTACAACACAAATGGGGATGAGCTTGTTTTTAATGTGAGGCCGAGGTGAGTCAGGGTGCTCTTGACATTTTATCCCACCAGCTGTGCCTGTGGATGGGGCGTACAGGGTGCAGTCAGACATGAATCCCTACTCAAAATGCTTATAATACCCCATGCTTCGTGCAGTACCTGTTGCAAGGGCATTTTTTGGACCAGCCCCCTCTGATACGAATTCAACTGACACTGCTTGGTGTTTGATGTCCTGCACTGGTTGCCTGCTGTTGGTGTCTTTTGAGAATGATGAGGTCGGGTCGTTACACATGTAAATTCAGGGTCCAAAAAGTGTGACATTTTTGTGTCCCTTGGCCTGTGTAATTTGATATGGAAATACATGTACCATTGAAATTGATTTCAAACTACATATATATTTATTTATTTGGCTGGTAAATTACATTAATTCATCACTCTTGAAAATGAGAAAATGTGTTCTGAACTTACAAATTCATACACTGTACATGTATACATGTATGTCAGATGCAACAGGGACACGAGAACATTAGCCCTTAATTTATAGAATGGCCCAGTCAGTATTTCTTAGAGACGCCTTCTCCTTCCTTGCGTTGACATACCGTACTAGTAAGATTATAGTCAGTACATGTACATACACTGCATGTGTACATGTACATGTATACTGGTAGGCCTACTGATGGTACTAATTCCATGTGCACATTCTGTACATGTGCATGATGTACATGTACATGCACATGTACCGGTACATCTACATCTACATGTATTTCACCAGAGTAATACATGTTTTAGGATTTTGTCTGCTGAAGTCTATGCTTGCTTTCTCCTTATTCCGCTTCCTCCTCTTGAAGGACAAATGTACTGTAGATTTTTCTTGAAATGTTAGGCAGGTGTGCAAAGCAAATATCCTGAAAATTACCTGAAATGAAATTGTGCTTTCCTAGTTCCATGTACATGTAAGTGCTGCATTTTGTACACTTAGTTCTTTAATTCTACTTGTACAATTTCCAGTGTACCTTTTCCATGTATAAATTTATTATTGCCCTGGGCATGCACTCAACAACCAAAAAGCTTAACTCTTTCAGATGCCTGTAGTGATTTGTTCCTACATCGGCCAATATCTACATGTACATTGATACCTACCGTACATGTAATTCCAACTAAACACAGGGGTGTGAGAATTCAGCTTTTTGTGTAGATGTTGACTCTAAATTTCAGCTTTTTTGTACATTTGGTCTGTACAAAAGTATGGAAACATTTTACATTTCAGCTTTTTGCCGGCTGTTTTCAGCTTTAATTTTAAGTGGCCACTCACAATCCTGTAAACAATCAAAGGAATGTACATGTATGATTACATTTCTTATTTCTTGCTAAACGGTTCTGCCTGCAATTTACTTCAGGTGCCTAGAGTTTCAGTAGAAAGATCTGATTCAGCCCCGAACCTCATCCATTGTCTACTCTAACATGATTACTTCTACAATGTACAAATCCCGGTGTCTGCATCGTCTATCGTGTGCCAGCAGATTGGGATTCTCTTCTGCAGCAGTTGAATGCATTTGATCCATTGTTTTCGGCCCTCAGGTGGACCAAATCAGGAGAATGAGAGTGATTCCTACATGTCGAGTCCTGCCCTTCGTCGAGCAAGGTTTGACATACTCTACCAAGACTGTGAGGTACATGTATGCGCACATGTTACTCTTAAAGTTCTGTACTTTTCACCTCATTCTGTGCGGTTTTGCCCTCTCATCTTTGTAGTGAAAAGGCAAGGTGTCATTTCCTTGCTGCTACTTTGTAATTTTCCAAATTCTCTGGAGCCTGTTCAAATGTTTGGGGGGGGGTTTGACAAAAAGACCCAAGATTTCTCTTGGTTCTGGTCTGATTATGTTAATTTCAAACGTGCTGAAGAATGCAGCCCTTGAAGTGTACAGACTATATGTACAGACTGAAAGTTGAAAACCCGAATTAGAGATGTCTGCGAATGTAATGATTTTCCCCAATACTTTTCAGTCTGCATCTGAGAAGGAATTTTTTGTCGCCTTCTGTCACTGACATTGTCCAATGATGTACACGCCGTATTCTCGCAGTAAAAACATTGTCTTTGAAAACATTGTCTTGAGAGAGTATGTACAGTCCATGTAGATCCTAGATGAATAAAGTACGTAATGTCATGAATACGTTTTCTCCTGCGTACTAATAGAATGAAATCAAACGGCTTCAGGAAGAAAATGGAGCCCTCAAGAACACAAACAGCCAACTTCGTGAACAGCTTGCAGACACAACAAAATTCCTTGTGTCCCAGTCAGAGCGGGCCACTAGTGCCACGAGTGTGACACCTGCCCCTGTCTCATCAAACCCAAGGGGTAATGTGTGTTCGGATTTGTCTCTGCCGTCCCCCCGATCCTCTCCATCCGCCTCCAAGCTGAAAGGCAAAGGGAGAGTGGTGGAGGCGGACCAGCCCTCCTCATCGCTGGGAACGAAACGAGCTCGGCACAGCAAGCCCACCCCCAGCCAGCAGGATCGGACCAACGGGTTGGAGTCGTGCGACAGCGGGCCGGACAACGGGGAAGTCCTGGCTGTGCTCAGGTCAAAGCTGAAGCAAGCCACTGCCACCCATGAGAAAATAAAGCAGGACATGGACAAGTTGAAGGAGGTACAGTAACATGAATTCATTTTGTCTTCTTTTTTTCTTGTTCACCTCAAACTCTCAACGCAGTCGTTCAAGAGCAGCATTGTGTTTCAACAGTTCAGATTGATTGTGGGAGCTATGCAACTGTACATGTACATGTACACTGTGAGTTTGAAGTCAACATTCAATTATTTGTCATTGATTTCGGCTAGTTTAGAAGTGGATAATTCAGTAATATGAGAACACATCAGGCAGCAATTGTTGGCTATATCGGTACATGTACGCATTGTAAACAAGACATGCATGTTTGATAAACCTTTACATTTATACACAGGTACATGTACATGAAACAAAGGCTGGATACCAACTGTTCTTTTAAATGTCAAGGCTACATGTGGATCGTGCTCTGCACATGCCATCTGAAGTCACAGGCTTCATTACAAATGAGATTCTCTGCACATGCTTTGTAGGAAAATGTGTAAACCCCCATCCAATAATACCGACATTACCGGCAAGCACGCGAACCTTTTGGTGGCTTCTTTCAAATTTGCACTTTAGGGGCTGTTTGGACGTGCCGGCTAAAATGTGGGTGATGACGAATGACATGATGAAATTCTCATTACATTCATGTAGCAGTACCAACCCATTATTTCTTTGGCAATCATAATAATTACCCTGTACATCAAAGCAGTCTTCTTTTAATATAATTCATGTAATTGATGATTTATTTTGTAATATCGATGCACAGTCGTCCTTCCAAAAAGTCAACATCCGTGACTGAACAATACTCTTCTTTTTGTTGAAGGACTGGGCAGATTTCCATTTTGACTGTGTCTTGTGCCTGTTCAGCCCAAACCAAACCAAACTGAAGCCAATCAATCATGGCAACTTGTGTTTATTTTTAATACATAACTTTAGTATCTTGGTTAAATTTGACTACAGTACATTTCCATGATTTGAAATGTTAAGTCTAATGTTTAGTGTGCCCTCCTTTATTTCTGATTACTTAGACTAGCTTATTTTACCCAAGCTGCCTTACAGACAAAGTGTCATATAAGACCTGCGTTTGCAAAAATTTCAGTCAAATGGGTATACATCTACACTGATATTATGCACCACTGTAAAAAAATGAGACAATGTAATGCAGGCCCTGTGACAGAAATACCAATAAAATTCCAGGTGGTCTTAAACTTTTGTAAATGACTGTACATGTAAGTGGGTGGCGTAAATTGTGACAACGCTTTTAATGGCAAAAAAAAATCCCCAAGACAGAAAGTTGTTTGCTTCATTATTATTGCTGGTGTTACTGTTCTTTTAAAAAGAAGAATGTTATTGTGCATTAAGGCAAACAAGAACCAGTCGTAGAGTGTGAACACAGTGTTGAACACAGTGTTGTCCACAGCCTAAAATTATAGCAGGGTGGCACACAGTGTGAGTGCAGAGCGTGAAGCCATTACGGTGTGGGGTTCGGGGCCCTTGGGAAACTTTGGATTCTAGATGCTCTGTGGTGCAGTAGGAGGTACCGGGTATTTCCTGGGCACTTTCTTCTGACTCCTTGAATCAAATTTGCTAGTGGTAACAATTTGAAATGAAGGCAAGATTGTTTTTCGGAAGGTCATCAAAAGTTGATTTTTCATCCTGGGCATTTTCTTTTTTTTACTGATCAGAACTCGCCATCAAGTGAGTGGTTCAGGGGTTACATGTACCAGTACGTATGTTGGCACAGCGCAAGTAAATGATGTACCGGTACAATCGCTTCCCTAATTCCGGATCTCAAAAATAACTCCATGGTCAGATTCAAGCAACAAAATCCTATAATTCCGGTGAAATATGATTAGTAATCCACCTCGTGTATTGGTTAAACTACATGTACAACAGTTTTTTTTCAAATCTAAGCTTTAATGTAGACTTACAGGATTGTCAAAATTGACAACACTTTTTCTGGTTCTTAATCGGTTTAACCAGTTCCAAATAGCGACAGTTTTTTTTCTCGTATAATAAGTAACCATGCAAAATATCCATTTTCAGCCAGAGCCACTGTAGCAAGCTGATTTTCTAAATAACAATTTCTTGATTTTTGTGGAAATTTTTTTATAAGTAACAATTTCAGTGAAATAACAAGTGAAACTTGTGTAAATTTTGACTCGAGTTTTTCAGCTGCTCTGCAAGCAATCAGTGACTATTCCCCGCGCTGCACAGTTAATGAACCCATTACATCACATACATGTACATTTTGGTTCACAGTGTACACTGTACATGTACGTGTGTTCACTTACGGTGTAATCCACAACTAGGAAAAATATGTATTTACGTGTAGTTTTTTTGCCTGTTTATAATAAAAAAAACCTGAAACTCCAAAGGTCATTTTGATTGAACATACATTAGAGACAACAGTTTATACATGTAGGACTGTTACCGGTAAATAGGAAAATTATACCTACAGTGTATCACCCTGTATGTTTTGGTCAATTTTTTGGCTCTCGTGATATTTGACGAACCGTTCAAAAATGTCAAAGTTTGAAATGGAAATCTAGTTGGCAGAAAATATTTCTTTTTGAGACGTTTTCTGAAAACAAAACTTTGTACAAGAAAATGTTTTACCTTTACTGAACTTGTTTGAGAATGCAGAACACAAAAGAAGTAGTTTTAGAAGCAGAAGAAAATACATTTTATTTTAGGCGATCCGGATCTAGGAAAAATCTTGAACTACATGTAGGAAATTGGCTGTATTTTCCAAGAAAAAAAATGCATTTGAGGTATTAGTTTTTGACTCGACAAAATGAAGATGCTATGACTGGGAGATTGAAACCAGTCCAGAATTTTGTGCTTATGTAATATACTGCATCAGGCTTTGATCACAACAATGCAAAATGTTATACTGTTGTGCTGAATAATGCTGGGAAACTCATCATGTGCCTTCCATGAAGTGCAGTAAACTTCTTTGCATTTACATAAACTATAATGAAGACGGTGGAGAACAGGGAAAATCCAATAGAAAAAATAGCAGGGCGGTGAGAACTTTAGCAGGGCTGCAAAACTTAAGTGGGGCAGTCTAAAATTTTGGCAGGGCGACCCACCCTGCTAAAACCCCTTGTGGAGAACACACTTGCAGGAACAGTTGTGAAATCATAACAGGGCTATCTGCAAATCATTAAACATGTTTGCAGAGAAATGGAGCATGCAGACATACAGTACATGTACTGGTACATGTGTACCGTTGACTCAGGAAGCACACCCGAGTGTACCAGTAGTCAAGCGGACCACTCAACTCAATTATTTTTTATTGGGGCGTAATTTTCTCTCCAAACGTACATGTATATACTTGCACTTGTTGCAGTGTTGGGCTGTGACTGTAGGAAGGCAGAGGCCATTTCTGTATTGATAGAGCCAGAAGGGGTTTCCCCAATTAAAGAGCCTGCGGCAATTTATAGACATACACTGTAGGGTTACTGCTCAGGCTGTACTATCCGTAGGGTGTATGTATGTATTCTTCAGGCCAGCATGTACATGTACATGTAAGCTTTCAATGCAGACCAGAATCTGACAGGTACACCTTTTGTATTAATGCCTCATGGGGAAATGTTTCATTCCAGTCCAATGTGCCTCCCCGGGGTTACTCAAACTGGGCATTCTTCAGTGAAATCAGCCTGCATAAAAGCAGTCAAACTTTTTCTACTTTATTTACTCGCAGTCTAACCTTCTGGATCACTTCATGCCGGAAATAAAAAAAAAAGTTCAGTAGATGAGAGCTGCGGTGATGGTGTTGCAATCATTTCTACCCTAGTCTCACTGGGAGAATAATCCCCTCATTTATTTTATGAATCGGGTGATACGACAAATTAATTAGGAATTAATTATTGATTTCTCCCACACGCACCCCTCCCCATCTTTCCAATTTGTGATGCATTGCCACATCATATCTCTGTATGTGAGCAGTAACTGGAACCTGCCTGATAAATTGGGTGATCTTGCTAATTGTTGGAAGATATCCTGCAGGCCATTTGTCTGTTTCCTCACCGGGGGGGGGGGGAACTGTAGCTCGGAATATCCCCAGAGATAGCTAATGACCAGATGCTTGGCCTCTTCTCGTTTTGCCAGTGGCGGTGGCAATTATTTTGATTCACATATTTCATTACGAGGATCAGGGTGAACATGCATGGATATAAACCGGTACCAGTATGCTGAGATAGAAATGGAAGGGCAGTCGATTCACACATTTGCATTTGGCAGGAAATGCCAAACAAAAGGCCTGGACAGAGACCCCAGCCATGCCAACTTGTTCCTTATGTTTTCCAGACTTTTTCTTATCTGTTTTTTTTTTTGTGTGTGTCCATTGGAACTTGATTTATCAGTACGGGCATAGCTTTAAAAAGGGAAATCATGGTTTTATCATTAGAAGTATGATAGCCTGTTTAGACTAATACAATGTGCATTTAATCAGTGGCCGTGAAAAAAATAATGAAAATTTGGAAAATTGTGTGTTGAAGTACTGTAGATCGTTTGTAGAATTCCATCTTGCCTATTAAATGAGTTTTGCTTTGAAATGACAGTGGCATGGTCCAACTCTGTTTCAAGTACAAGTGAAAGATGTGCTTGTGAAAGTTATCGAAGATGACTTACCCATACACTGAAGAACACGTCTTCACGTAGTGCATGTGTATAATGTACATGTAGGTGCCACTGCCAGTAAATACTCAAGTTGTTACACCTCATATTTCCAGGACCTCACCAAGGTTGATTTTAAGCAACAGCAACTACATGTATTTTGAGTTTATTCACAGAAGCTTTCTTTGTATGCAGGAAAAGATTGTAACACCTGTCAAAGCTGCAAACAATGCCAGAGGTTGTGTGGGGATGAGATTAATTGCCAGGATTTGTGCTGCTTTCCTGATATTTCAAACAATCTCATTCAAAATCAGGATAATCGTCAATGTGCCATTAGGGTGTACCAAACATGGGTGCCTTTAGGGAAGTACCAATTAATGCAGACCATAGAGGCTACGCTGCTGTAGGGGCACTCAAAAGCTATGGTAACTATTTCGTGGATTTTTCCATTCTCTTCCAATCTCACCCCTGGCGGTGGGATGATCTTCCCCAAATCTCCTGCAGATTCTGCATTCTTTTAAAACACAGTACACACAGTTATGAGTATACATGTACCCGTGGTCATCAAAGTTGAGTATACTGGTGTAAGCAAAATAATGTCAGCTCTTTTATAATATTCTGGGGTACTGCACCAAATGTGAGTACAGTTGATACAAGTACAGTTACTAACTGCTAGACTTTCTGATTGAAGTTGACTCTTATGGAGCAAATTTTAATCAGTCATAAATATACGGTAGAAATGAAAGATTTTCTTGCATGGCTAATACTACATGTATGGGGGAATGTTTTGATTTGAATATAAAAACCCTATATTGACAATTCCCTGGAAAATATACTGGGATGCATTGAGCAAGATAATACCGTCTTCATCCTATTGTCCCAAAACATTTACCAACAAAATATGTTCATCAACAAAAGTTTTTTTCATTTACTTTGTAGCCTGAAAGAAAGGAAGCCACGATAGATGAGTTACGTACATGTACTGTACATGTATACTAATCCATATTTCCATTTCTGTCATACCCATTAATTACCTGTCTCTGTGTGTCTGTTTTGGTTCTTCAACACAGAAAAATGCTAAGCTGAGTGCAGATAACCGGGCGCTGTTGACCGAGAATGGCCGATTGAAACAGGCTGCTGCCATCCGTTCGCCACGCAAGTAAGTCATTCCAGCACCAGTACAGTATTTCAATACAAAAGAAAGTTTGGCACTTGCTTCAGAGGAAGAAACGTCAGCCTTCCTCCTATTTCATTAAAAGTAAGATATCATTGTTGAGTTTTTGTTAAAAAGTTCTGAGCTACACAAAAGGATCCCAGCTGATAAGACTCAGTGGAAACGATATTCATCAGCATTTTCTGCATTTTTTTCTGCACTTTGTACAGTCCATTGCCTTACATTGGTCACACAGTTTTTGTGTGGAAGGGATAATGCTTGCTTTTGTCCAAGTTGTATAACTGTGGATTTCCATATCTACATGTATGTCTATCACAAAGCATACGAAAGCCAATGAGTACAGGTATGCATAGTGCTTTCTTTTCCACCTGCAGTTGGTTATGGAAGATGAATTACAGGATAAGCAGGGTCTCCTTAGCCTGGAGTTTTTCATGGTCAAAGTGATGAAAATAATGGGTGCCATGAGAAATGATGGGGAGGGACCGGATGAACAGTCTGACTGGAAACGTGTAAGATTCCATTTGCTCAGACCACAAGAAAAGATGAAAAGGGAAACTTTTCAAAGTTCCCCATGCCTGGAGTGGAACACCCACTCTTCACACATACAAGTTACATGTACATGTATATATGCTGTACTGGTATGGTACATGTACATGTACCGGTATGTATATGTACATGTAGCAGTGTATGGTCATTCGCACCACACCCTCGGAGGAGCTCTGTCCATGTATCGGTACTTGTACCATATACCTTTTGGAGTCTCTCGTGTGCTTCTCTACTTGAGAGAAAAGGTTTTCTGAACCACAGTTTTCATCAGGACAGGTGAAGTCAAGTCTTTTGTGGAAGGGATCCATGTACACGTGTAGTATTGAATCCTTCGCTGATCTTTGTATTGTGTGTCAACATGTTTTGTGCGCACCTGCTGATGTACTGACCAATTAACAAAGGGTTACCTGATATACTGCTAAATTTTTTAAAGGTGCCACCATTAAAGGTGCCACCATGAATGGCGCCGCTCTTTTTGGACAGGCTATACTAGTGGCGTATTGATGGGAAGCGCCACCTGAAATATTCATATCTGAGTGACAGTTAACAGTCCGTTTTAAAAATTTCAACACACCATTATCTCCTCTCAGACAGAAGATGGTCGGTCAGTTTTTATTATTTGATGAGCTGGGGAACAATGGATGAAGTACAAAAGAGGATGGTTAAAATTTCATCCTGCTCATCAAGGCAGGGGGGCTGATGAATAAATAAAGAGCCATCTCCATGGTAATCGCTGAACACCAAACTAGGGATGCGTGGAGGAAGTAAGACCACAACAAAGTTTGGGTATTGATTGGACCAATTTATTATTTAGTTTTCAGGAGCCGCCGCCAAAGAAACTAGGCAAAGGTATCAGTCAGGATGGAGAAAACATTTACAACAGAACCAAACCAGAAGGGCTGGTTAATAATTTAGTTCAATTTGTACTTTGTTTAGAAACTAGAACAGTTGTCTGCAAAAAGTATGCACGTACATGTACAAGCCTTGCATTGGTTTTGATATTCAGTGTACATGTACTGGTAACTGCAGGGTACATGTACATTTAGACCGAAGATTATTTTGAAGAGGATGAAAAGATCAACAAAACTACCCCTCCAGAACTGAAGTAGTATTCACATGTACGTTAAGTCTCAAAGTCTTTCCATAAAGCTGGTCATTTAATTTTTGACATGTGTCCAGTATGTTCTGGAAAAATACTGGACTGGCCCGGGCCTCACTGAAATGTTACTGATTTTATGTACATGTACTTCAGAACATGTAATGTGCATGTACATGTGCCAGAATACGTGGGTTCTTTCTCACAAGGGGGGCCCAATGGCAAACGTACAGGTACATACATGTACATGTACACGTACACTGTACATGTACATGCAATAGTACGGTACAGATTGGAGGGCTGTTAAATCATGGAGGAAGGACACAGAAGGAGTTACATGTACAACTCTGGCACATCAAGGTGCTCGATGATCATTGCTGCCCGGTCAGATAAACAATAGTAGACATTCCATAAATGCCTGATTACTGCCTGCAGCTTAGCCGGACAAGTTGGGCCAGTAATATCATAACAATATTTGTGGTATTTTCTTTGGAATTAACTACAACCTATCACCTATCGCAGTGACCAGGAAACAGAAAGAAAAAATATCTGACATTAGATTTACTTTTGTCGTTTGAATAAATTTTTAAGGATTTTGATGCCCTGCTCCATTATCCATGCATATGTTTGTAATTTTTTTTTGTCACTCCAAAACATGAGTTTTCAAAGTCTTTGTACGAGTTTGGCTAAGACTGGCTAACAACATGTTGAACATCACAGGACAGTTAAGTTCACAAAAAACCCAAAATGAGCTGTTTCATCACAGGGAGTGATTGTGAGGTCTCATAAAATACCTTTTGGTGTAAATTCCGTAGTAAAAATGATTCAAACAAAACGCCAAATCTTACAAACAGCTTGGCTTTTTATTCCCAAAAGATGTCCAGAAGAAAGCATTTGATAAGGGCAACAACTGCACATGAACACTTCAGGTACACAGCAGCTGCGCAAGCACTAAATTTGATGTTGTTGTCAGATCATATCAAGCACCAACGATGGCACGAATATTCAACTTCCTATACTGCAGTACACAACGTTTTAGGGATGCAAATTACCAACAAAAAATTGCGGCAATGATCATTGGGTACAAAAAGGGGGCTTATGGTTGCAAAACAGGTGGTGAGTAGCAAGCATTGACTGCGCTCTGGCTATGGACATACCGGGCATGCCAGAAAGCGGTAATTGGCCAGATGTTTTAGCCCGGGCAGTTCCAAACTCCTTCTGTGTCCTTCCTCCATGGTTAAATAAACTGCGAGAGTGAAGTTTTTCATTACTTGGAGGAGATTATAAAATGTTATAATGACTACCGCACTAGAGCGAAAGCTACACATTTGTTTGCTATTGCGAATCTTTGAAAGACAAAATACATGTTGTCATAGATTCATCATTTTGAAAAAAGCAGGACACAAGTACATGTAAATGTACTGTACATGTACTGTACGGTACCTAGATTTTAATTTTGATGGGTTCTGAAGCGTGTGGTGTTGAAAGAAATAATATTTCATGTCCAACAGGTAAGTTTACCAGTATAATTGATTGTTCTCAATTTACAAGTGTGTTACACCAAGTTCTGTAAGTACCTGTACATGCACACTTGCCTGACAAAATGCCAGAAACATTGAGTATCCCACCCCAACTTCTTGTACCCTAGTTAGTTTAATACAGTACATACATGTACATGTACATTTGAAACCACAGTATAAATTCTGATATTTTGGGCCCTGAGCGGTACCAAGAGAGAGCTCTGTATTCGTAGTAGCGGAGGCCCTTTTGGTGGGAACTGCACTTCACTGGTCCAGGAACGACTAGGAAATGCATGTGTTGCAGTCACATGGCTACGGACTACATGTACATGCGCACTAGTACTCCTCACCGACATGGCTCTTTTCAACCTATGAGGGAGTGCCTCTGCTCAAGGTGGACAGTTGTGAGCATTGAAGTCCTGCTCAAACCTCTTGTGCCTGAAGTGTTTCACCTTTGCTGCACACAAATTGAAGCAGTGACAGACACTTATCATTTATTTCAGTGAACTTCATGTGTTCCCAAAGGCAACTAAGCTTACAGTAGGGCAGGACACCAGTTTTCCGATTTTGGCCTGGATGTCCTAGTTACATGTGGGACCTCCTTGAAAACGGCCCATGCAAACACATTTCAGATACCGTGCATACATAGTGTGCACATACAGTGTACCTGAATGCATGAATGTCTACGCCCACATAGCACACTAATTATGAGAAACAGTTTTAGCAAAAAATTTCATCAATTGCTGAGACCAGACTAGGGAGGCCATGGGAGACATTGCAGTTGTTGCAAGTAGCAATGAATGTACGCTTCATTGGGTCACCATGTTAGCCCAAACACGGGCAGAGGAGATCAATAAACTAACCATATTAATTAGTTATTGTTTATAATCAACATTTAGCAAACTTAATTGACTTTCACATTTGGGAGTTTTTGGCTTTAGAGATCTTTTAATTTTTTCACGATGGGAAGTAAGCAAATGAGGTCTAATTAAGAGCAAGTAAATTAACATTGAAAAGTTTATCATTTTGTGTTACGGTACATTTAGAGGATCCAGTGTTGGCAGGAAGTGACCATGCTTCAGTAATGCAGCATTGTGGCCTTGTCAGTTTGACTTTCAAAATGGAAAGCACAATTTCTGTTCTTTAACTTGATTGGGAATTTCTTTTTTATTTTTATATTTTACTTTTACAAAGGCACGCTAACAGACAAATAGGAATTTAATCTGGTTGAAGTGGGAACTGCTAGATTTCTTCCGAATGCACTCTCTCAACTCGGACAGTTTCTGATTAAATATTTCAGACAGTTTTTGTAGGGGTGTGGATTGTTTTCATTTTTATTGTGGTGCAGGGCAGCTTAATGCAGCGTCGTTTAATTTGAGTATCACTTCAAAAACAGCAAGTAGCCACCCTAGGGCCATGAGCTTGACTTCTCGATCAATGCCGGGGCAAGCCATATATCGTTTGATCGCACCACACCGATCCATCCCAACAATAACTGGGGGGGGGATGCAGCTGTGGTGGGGAAAGAGACCCCGCTGCTGTGAAACAATTATCAACGGGGAACCGGGGACAATTAGATCAATTAGCCATTTGATGGGAATTAAATGCCAGAGGGACACTGACCAAGGTCACGGTGATGTGAGAAGTTGGCGAGCGGTAGACAGCTGCAAGATATACAGCACTCATTGATTGGGGCATAGTCAAAAAAGTACGCCATGCATGTACGTGCATATGCTGCTTGTTAGTCATCCAGAGTCAAGCAGGAAATGTGTTTCTGTAGGATATGAATCAAATGAATTATTTAAGCTACGGTATCGTTGCAT